ATAGATTTAATTTTGAAATCTCTTTACTATCACTCAATTACTGCCAAATAATTAAGTTTTCAATTAATTGTTATTTATTTTAGTGACTTTAATACCGGTAATAAGATTATATTTAATTGACTTTTTTTTGTAACTTTTTCCCAACACTAAGTAATGACTTAAAAGTTGTTAAACTTTTTATTAATTTAAATGTTTCAGTAAAAATATTTTAAATGCATTAATTGTATATTGCACTCCAACTTAATATTTAATAAATAAAACGAGCTAGTATATAAAATAAAAGTTGTTCGGAAACTTAATGTTAACTCTATGCCATAGACTCAAAGGTAAGTTAGGTTAGGTTAGGTTAGGTTAGGTTAGGTTAGGTTAGGTTAGCATAGAATCTGTGCAAACCTAACCTAACCTAACAATCCAAATGAGATTCAGTTTTCAATTGAAGTAATGGAATAAATAAATTGTAGACAAAATATATGGATTTCAATTCAAAATACGAATAGAAATACTTGGAATATTAAACATATACCTATCATACAGTATTAAATATACAGATTTTAAGGCCACTGAGTGTTGCCATTTAAATGCATGAGTGACTCTTTGGGCCACAACTCTGTATAACTAAATGTGAATACAATGTATGCAATGAATGCATGCTTTCACTGTTGAGACCAGTTTTGAGGCAAACATTGCATTGAATGTGTCTTCGCATCAATAGATCCCAAGAAGTGTTGTGTTTGTGTCACCAATTGGCGGTGAAGTGCGTGAATAGCATCTGATTGTCTCGTATTACTTGTTGTGGTAATGAGTGATGACATAAAGTGCCGAAAGTGTCGCAAAGTGTTGTTTACGGCAAATATTTTGCTCACAAACCATGGTTTGGCTTATGATGTCCACGAAGACATCGATGATAATGACACCATCGATGACACCGAAGACATCGCCGATGAGGACGACGACATCAGCGCTGAAGATATTGCCTCCGAAGACTACAACGAAGACATTGTTTGCGAGGACTTGTGTACCGGTGAAGATGTCACTCACGAGGACGTGAATACTGTCTGTAAAGATAATACCGGCGATGGTATGGCAGTCGTGAAGACATCAACACAGGATTCGTGTACTAATGAGTCGAAAGTGTATTATCTGAATGAGGATCAGATGACGGATTGGATGCGAGAACAGGTGGACGTGAATGAGTGGACCAAAGGCCGACTCGTGTGTCCCACCGATGGCTGCCATCAACGGATCGGTTCATTTGATTTCATAAATGGCCACAAATGTCGGTGTCGTTCATACGTGTTGCCAAACATCCAGATAATTAAGTCCAGAGTCGATAAACAGATGGTTATTATTCACAGCATTCAGTAGTGATTGCCATAAACTGTGGACTTATTGTGAACGACTCGTTAGTGTGAAGTTATTAATGGGTTTTATGTACAGAATATTATGTAATTTATTTTAATTATGAGTTTTAAATGGATCTCTAAATGGTGTACAATATTTTGAAGTCATTTTATCCATTTGTTTATTCACTTGTAATATATAAAGTTTATACTGAATATACGTTTATTGTAACAAACATTTTATTAAAAAATTATTTTTGCATAACAGTTATTAGGATTTATATTTTATTAATTATTTCATAAACTATTTCATTAAATGTTTGCAAATTTTGTACATTATTAGACTATTAGAGCCAATGCCATACACTATATTTTGATACAAAATAATTTTTGTGATTTTTAAACAAAATTATTGAAACTTTCAATTTGAAAGACACATTGAATACCAAAAACATTTGTTATAATTATTTGTTACACAAAGTGTTATTACATTTTAGTCGTTCGTATAATAAATACTGTTTTCTATTACTTTAATTGCCACTATTTTACTGTATTGTATAACATATTGCTGTTAAGCCATAGGTTTTCCCTTAATTTATACGATTTAATGAGTATTTCTAAAGTGATAAGAACTGTGTGTAAAAATGTTGTGCCAAACATATCCATATCATTAGTCTGTTAACAAATAGATTTTGTTGGGTTTTTAATACTCGCAGTTATATAACAATAAGTATTTCACTCAATATCTATGGATGGCTTACGTGATCGAAAAGTCTTTGATAATAACCACAAAATGTCTATAAATTTTCTGTTTACGTAAAGGATGTCATGAATAATGAGTGTTAGGGGAGAGAGAGAGCGAGAGAGAGAGAGAGAGAGCGCGTTATTCTGTAAATAAACTTTTATGACTAAACTATTAGTTAGAGTTAACGTTGAAATCATTGATTACATTACATATTAGGCGATCCGGGTGTGCAATACTACTCCCTGTTATCTAAATTTGTTTTTGTTATTATTAATTGTATTTTGATATTTAATTTGAATCTTTGGTATTTTATTTTAAACAGTAGTTTTAGAGGCGATTCTATCGGCTCTCGAAATATTTGTGTTGATATTTAGCACGAATTGATAAGAATATTATATATACTCTAACAGTGTTTCCAAGTTATTAAGCCATCGCTACAATCATTTCGCTAAAAGGTCTCCCACTTTATTACCACCACTTTTTTATTTTATTAATAGCCATTGTTTTGTGTTTTATGAATATTTTTATGTATATTTTATTTTAGGCTAAAAATATAGCGTAATTTAACAGTTGTATCAGTCAATACATTTGTGTGCATTTATTCTGTGGATTCTGAGCTCTCAATCCATTTGGTTATACATTAAATGTAAGAATAATTTTTCATTTATTCTGTAAAATATGTGACAAAAGCTTTTTACTGTTTTTATATAAACTTTGTAAATAATCTCAACCTTAAGACCTAAGAAGTGGTCGACTGAGCGGATAAAATGCCGGGCAAACAGATAACGGGTGCCAAAGAGGAGGTCTACGGACACATGCGGATGTCGTGGGCCAGGGATAAGGGCCGACTGTTTTACGGTTTGCGCAAAAACTACTCCATTTGGCCGCTACTGGTGTTTGCGTTCGGGTGCGCGCCCTCCTTCATAGTCTACATGGCCTTCCATAAGGGCCGCAATCCCGACACCATTTGGACCAATAAGAACACTGAGCCCTGGAATGATTGGTCCAACAAACGGGAAAAGTTGTTGACTTTTGTTGACTTTGATTACAAGAACTATAAGACAGGAAGACCTGACTTCGAGTATAAAAAGGATGATAAATAAGGGTTTGTATTGTATGTTAAGTGTATGTTTAGAATTCATGAATGAATTTGTGAGACATCTTCACATTCTCTCTCTCTCTCTCTCTCTCACTCACTTACACACACTTTGTTCAAAACCCTCTACTCTAACGTCTAATGACTTGAAGCCAATAATAATTAATAACTAAAAGTATGAAAACATTTTTATTCCACTAATTCTTACATTAAGTAGTGATTAATGCCCCCATACTTACTGCTATTATCTTATTTTTAAAGCACTACTACTACTAATAATAGACTAATATTTTATATATGATTTCCGTTGTCTCTATTAATTCACATTATTTTCAAAGACTTTAGATATTTTGTGCTCTTATTTATGCTTATCTTTTCATAGGAAATGTTTTGTCCGCAAAAAACATTTACGAAATGAAAAATTGTATCCAATTATTGCTGTCATAACTGGTTATTAATATTAGACAACCAAAAAAGTTTGTGTAATTTTTTGTATATTCATTAATTGAGCGTTAAATTTGATTTTTCAGTAGTATTTTATTTAATGCTTTTGTTCAGTAGTCAGATATTAATCTTAATAATGAAAGCAATATTAATTTAATGAAAAAGTATTACATTTTTTAAAAACTTTTTTATTCAAATTATAATTTGGGAATAAAAAAGTTTATGTAAACGCAAATACAAAATAAACTTTTAACAAAAACTATAATTAATTGTATTACTTATTTGTCTCGACTAGGACATTTGTATATAATTGTGGTATGGTTTTAATTCATAATTAAAATTTACTCTAATATTAAAAATACACATCAAGTAAAGAGATAACAAAAATAAACTATTATTATATAGAATCTATATTATAGATTATAAACACATTTATATGGATTAAAAGTATAGATAATTATAATTTATAAATATTTGTTTAAAACATTTAATGATTTCATGTAATAGTGGGGAACATAGGACCGGTGTTTAGGGTCATCGGAGTTGACATAAGACAGCATATCTTTGTGTGAATTAATGCCCGTCTCTACGAACAATGTCTTCATGTGGTTGTTGTGTCCAAAGGGTATATCAGTGATCAGTCGATCGCCAATCATCACACACCTGTCCTCCGAGATAAACGGATAATCAGATCTGATTATATCGAAAAACAGTGTCGACGGCTTTCCCAGACAGACAGCATGTTTTTCAGTAGCATTCTCTATGAGCGCCAGTATAGCTCCCGGTCCGGGCACTGTTAGGTCAGGGTTTGGCATCTTTTCATCTGCACTGGACGCTAGGAATAGTGTGTTATACTGTCGGATGTAAGTGCTGGCGATCACAGCCTTCCGGAATGATATACTGTAGTCCATACCCAATAAGACAGCGCCCACCTCCGGGTCAAAGCTGTGTAGGGCCGGCAGTTCGTAGAAATCGCTGGAATAGGGGTCCAAAATGGAGCGGATGTTCATTTGGTTCAACTCGTCGGCTATGCCCGACTCGCCCACAATGTAGACCTTCTTATTGAAGTCCCTGTCCTTTAAATACTTGGCCATCAGATACGACGTCGGATACAATTCGTTGACATTGGCCTCGAAACCGAGTTTTTGTAGTTTTTGGCAAAATTCTTGACGCGTTTTCGTGTCGTTATTCGTGACAAATATGATGTGTTTACCCAACGCTCGGAGGCGGTTGAGCGCCGCCGACGACCCCTCGATAGCCCTGTCGTCCAGCCATAGGACGCCATCGCAGTCGGAGATCACGTAATCGATTCCCGACAAGAATTTCTCCAATTCTTTGCTGTCCTCCAAATTGATTGGCATTTGTTTGATAGCCATCTCTGTATGTATTGAAAGAATCACAGAATTTGAATACAAAACTCTTATCAAACAATGGATTCGTTACGTTAAACACGATATAAATAGTGTATATTTATAATTATTCTGTTATAATGTTAAAATGTTTATAATTCTAGAATCACTCGTATATGTGTTGACAGGCGTTATGTAAACTACCGTTCCCTTCCTCATCGCGATTACACACTCTTATATATAATACATTTGTTTCCAATTCTTACGCAACGAATTGCATTCATTACACAGAATTCTCGGCGCATAAGTCAATGCGAGAATAATATACATGTTATGAATAGTGTGTCAGACATTAAAATCACTTAAGAATTGTGTGATTCTGTGTTCATGAATAATGTATGAGAAAAACTTTTGACTAGTTTTATACAGCACTCATTGTTCACATGTCGGGTACACTATAGCGAGCGTTCACTTTAACATTAATAGTTTTAATAAAACTCAATGTTTTTCTATTTATAATTCCGTTGTATTAAGAAATTGATTATTAAATCACACGTCCTTTGCATTAATTAGCCTAACCTTCACTTTATAAATCGCTTTTCGCTGTCTCCGTCGCTAATCAAAGGATAAAATATAGTTATAAACAGTTTAATTGTTTTATTTATCATAATATTTAGCATAATCCCGACAAGTCTATGTAAAAAATTATTTATCATTCGTAATACTAATATTTATCTTTAGATATAGATAATTTACTATAATTTGTATGCAAATCTTTTTATTGCAAAATTTTTTTATTGCATTGATACTTTTCCAAATGATAAGCGAATATTATCTAAAATTATATTTTGCAACATTAAATATTTCACTGATTAACACATATTTATATTTTTAAAATTCAACTATGTGATGAGAAAATTATGTTACATTTGAAATAAATGTTTAACAATTCTTGCGTTAGATTTCGCTAACATTACCGTCAATTGCATCATAGGTTCACAATATTCTGTATGCGATATACAGTAGGGTATCCCACAGTAAACCACTTCCTATTTAGACTACAATTCAAAAATAATTGCTTTAATTTGAAATATTTTCAGAAATAAAAAAATTCTTATCATAAGAATCTCGTATAAACAAGAAATAGAAACTATTTTTAATTTTTATAACTTATACTTGTAATGAGAATAAAAATTGAGAATAAAAATGAAAATTAAGACACAATTTGAGAATTGGGATAAACTATATGTTATGTGAAAATTGATAAGTAATTCACAGAATATTCACTACTTTTGTTCGACATTTAAAACTACAATTCCTTCAAATGAATGGTTGAGTAGTTTTATTATGATTTGTCACTCACTTCTCCCTCACACTCACTATCCCTACTGTTTCTACACTTATAAAAACACTGACAAAAAAAGTTAGTTAAAACAACTCGATAAGAATATACAGTATATTATCGCTATTATAAATTATAAATACGTGGAAAGTATTTAATAAACAAGAATTGATTCATATAATAACTTAATTTAACAATAAATTTTAATTTTATTAATAGTTTTATTATTTAAGATAATAACGCAGGTAGTGATCATAGTACAAATGATCAATATGAATTTAGTGTATAAATAAATAGTCAATCAATGAATAGCTTATAGTTAAGACTTGTTATCTACAAATAGAAAGGACAGACACTTTTTTACTGCATTAATGTTTGGGTGAAAAGTCTTTAGTAGCACTGAGATTGGTATTAACTGCATGAGTAGGGAACTGGAGGTGATGGGTATGTTTAGTCGAGATTTAAATTGTCAACTCATATATGCATTAACACTAAGTTTAGCCCTCTTTAGCCCTCTTTAGCCCTTCGTTTGAATATAAGTACAGAATTTTTTGCGAGTTTCTAATCTCGTGTCAGTTTAGGACCAATAGTTCACAAGCGTTTGTGTTTTGCAAAAGTATTTAATGATTAACTATTTTCTTAGGCAAAGAGTTGAGAAAATACTTTGAGATAAATAGAGATGAGATTAGAGTGCAAATCATTTTAAGGGATTTTTTGAAACAAATTTTACATGAATAGATAAGTAACTGATTTTTAGGTCAATATCTCACTAATAGTTTATGGATAACATGCAAAATATAGACAAGAATTTCCATAAACATTACATTTGTTTGAAAGACACAAAAACTATATAAGGAATGGGAGAATAGGGACAGTCCATCAGTTTTAATCAGACATTTAATGACAAAAGTGAAGATTTTATTCAATATTACATTTTATTAATGAATTTCGCGAAACAAACCACAAATTGTGGCCAAATGTCTCGAAAGGTACTCAACGACGACGTGTTGACCGAAATCTTCAGTTACTTATCGATCAACGACTTGATAAAAGTCTCCAAATTGTCGGATCAGTTCAGCCGATGCGCGGATCAGGTCATGACACAGATCCCATTTGTGAAGATCGGTGTCATTCCCAACGCCTATGAATACAATTGCGAGGATTGCGCGGAACCGATGACTTTCAACGAGCCTACCATTCAGTGGCCACGTCTTGAGCCCATCCACAAGTCAATGGTTAAGCGACACAACCGGTGGTACACGATATCCACTGACCTTATCGCCAGTGAGCCGCAAATGAAGCCATTGTTCACCGAACGACTGATGAATGTGAAGAGTTTGGTCCTAAACGACATTATCATCGATGAAAAGGTGGTGCGACTGATCTCCAAGTGGTTCCCGAGACTTCAGTGTCTGACGATAGGTATCAACACGTATACCACCGATAATTACAAGTGTCTAAACGAGCACTTCCGGCACCGCTTAAGACACTTGCATTTGAATGCGTTTGACCTCAAGAGTGTCGACCACTTGAACGGCTTCGACAGACTGGAAGCGCTGTCTTTGATCCGAATGAACGGCTCGATACCAGTGGGACGACTGGCCGACACGTTTGCGCCATCGATGACCACATTAAACATATGCATGAATTTCATAAGTTTTGGCCACAATATAGGAGATCTCATAACGCATCCAAACGTGAAGAATGTCCGCAATCTATCGCTCAATGGCTTTGACTATCACTCGTCGGGCACTCTATTGTCGCAAATCTGCGCCAATATGAAGCTCTTGAAGCGATTATCATTGAAACAGATCCGCTGCCGATCGTTGGCGCCGGTGATGGCCCTCCAAGAGCTGGAAGTACTGGAGATTCAGTCGACGCACCCGTTGTTCGCCGACTTCAAGGCGAGTGGCGGTCCGGCGATGAAGTCATTGCGATCGCTGTCGCTGTTGAGGACGGGATTGCATCGATTGGACGTCGAAGTGGTGGTCCAGTCGTTCCCAAACCTTCAGAAGCTGTCGCTCACTAACTGTTGCCTATGGGTTAAGCCATACGAAGCCGAATGTGGACTCAATTGTGTGGAACCGATGACAAGAATCAGAGGACTCCAAGAGATACGACTAATGGACTGTTCGCTGAATAGTTTAGGCAATTCATCGGCGGTTATGAGACAATTGTCGCAAGAGTTGCATAAATTTGGTTCACTTTCGACCATTAAATTGACCACAAGATCCAGTGTTGACCACAAGTCTGTCAAAGAGTTTATCGATGCTGTGATAGTTTATGCCATTAATGGCAGCAATCGGTGGATAACTTGTGGTTTCACTAATCATAAGATCGAAATGAATAGAGAGGTCTTGGGATCAGTTGGCAAAGAATACGTGGACAGAGATCTGCCAC